TGGCAACGTATACCAATTATCCACAAATAACTGATACCCTTTACCAAGGAAGCCGCCGCCAAACTTCATCAAATGCAGCACCACTTTCGTAAACGAGGGAATGTCGCCACGGTCCTTCCCGGTGTACACCTCAAAGCAAGAGGTGTACCCTGCAGCCGGGCCGGTACTGGCACTGAGCTTGTAGACCTTCAACCTGAACCTCGCCCTCTTAGTTGGGTTATAGGTCTTGAAGCCAAGTCTACCACGAAACTTGCATAAAGACTCGTCTATGGCAATGTCCTGTCCCGGTACGAAGACCGATCGGAACGAGTCATTGAGGGAATTTACGATTGGTTGGAGCTTCCACATACTGTCCTCTGGGAGTGGAGCTCCTTCCTCCAAATGTGAGAAATGGAGGTGTGTCGTCAACTGGTCAAACCGATCCCTTGTCATTACCTCGGCAACGAGTTCGTGACGCAGGACACGGTTGGTCGACCAGAAGTCGCGGTAATTGACTGGCTTCCACAAGCCCATTACCACGCGGATCCCAAGGTATGCCAGGACCTCCTGCCTGGACGTGGGCGTCCACTTCCCCATGTGAGAGGAGGCGGCAGGAGAGTGGGCGACCGCATACCTGTAGGAGTGGAAAAAAAAACAAGTAAGTAATACATTCTGACTGTTCAATGCAAGAGATATTTACACAATATGAATAAAATGGAAAGAATACAAACGCTTCCTCATGTGAGGGGAGGTGACAGGAAGGTGGGCGACTGCATACCTGTGGGAGTAGAAAAGAAAAACAAGTAAGCAATACATTCTGACTGCTCAGTGCAAGAGATATTTATTAAGTATGGATAAAAATGCAAAGAACACAAAAGCAATAACGAAACTTACCAGTTGGTCTCTCGAACAATATGTTCAAGAAGTTCATCCGTGACGAGCGACGAAAGAATCTCCAACGGCGAGCAGGTGATGTCCAAAGCCGCCTTGACCCCCGGATCCCCACTAAAGCCATACCTCGTAGGAACGTTGTCTTTCCTTCTCCAGGTAAAGTTTTTAGTCCCTGGAGCATTGGCAGACTTAATTTTTCTACATAGTTTGCCAGGGGCTCGTCACTCTCCATAGTAGTGTCAACTTATGACACATAATCTAGCTCGTCGTCTGAGGAGGAGCTTACGTCAAAAAGAGGATCTCTCGCAGGTCAAAGCAGCATGGGTTACAAGTAACATAACATGATCAATCACATCATTGCCTGTGTACTGACATCACTGCCGTATGTGACGTCATTTACTACTATGTGGAAGTAAAATGGCGGCTGTAAACTTTCTCTGTGTGTATGTATGTATGTCACTGTGTGTGTTTGCTTTCAAAGTAAGGATGGTGACTGTAATGGCGTCACTTCCGCATCTTCACGCCATCTTATCGACGTCACTTCCTTTATCTTCATGACGTCACTTCATCTTCGTGACGTCACTTCCTTTTATCTACATGACGTCACTTCATCTTCGTGACGTCACTTCCTTTATCTTCATAATTATACTTCGTGACGTCACGCGCACATACAAACTCACACACAACACACACGTACGCACGCACGCACAACACAGCTTTGCCAAACATGCCATACATCTTCACTGTTATCGGAAATGCTTATAGAGTCCAGACTTGAAAAGCTATCAACACTGGATGATGAAGAACACGCCATAGCCATAATACACACCACTGACACTAACACAACTCATGGCGTCATCGCAACACAATTTTGATGTGTAAATTAGCAGACGACGCATATTTCGGTAAAAAAATGCTTCAAAACTATATTTTTAGACAGAATTTTTTTTTTTTTGCAATAAGTTGCTTTTGAAAAAGTAGTATCTTAGCAATGAAAAAATGCAAAGTTGTGCACAAGCTTAGTGGTTATTCTTTAAAGTTAAAGTAAAACAAAAGCGATAAAACCCCATTGAACCCAACGAAAGACTAACGTAAAACTTAATGAAACTACTTTAAAACCAAGGCCATTCACGATAAAATAAAAGAATAAAATGAAATAAAAGATTCTAGTAAAAATAAGATATTGTAACTGATAAAATACAAAATAAAAAGGGTTCTAGAAAAAAACTCAAAGTTACGGGTTCTGTATTTTACTGAAGGAGTGACAGCGTTCATGAACATAACCAATATAAAAACTATTACCTTTATATATATAAATCGTTTCTGATGTTCTTGATGTCGGTTCCACCGCCTCACAGTACAAAAAGATAATGATATAAAATGAATACACTTCGAATAGCTTAAAATCGCAAAAAAATAATAATTATAAGTCTCTCTCTGACATCTGCGCACATTGGCAATTAAGTTCACAGCGCCTTTTTCCCTTGCGCAAAATAGTGTGCAGTCCTGGTTTTTCACTAGTGAATGTGGAATATATAACTTTATACAGTAACTGTAGCGTTATATTGATATTCTTGGACATCGGCCTGCGCAACCGCGCAGAGGGCACCCTTTGAATTAAATTGTCCATACTGACATATTTGTGGACTACTTGCAGCACAATTGGGTAATCTCTATGGCTTAGTTCAGTGGTTCTTAACGCTTAACTACCACGCCCCCCTTTAGGAATTTGTCTTTCCCTCCACGCCTTCCTTGCATCTGTAAAGAAAATTCCCTCACAGATTTTAAAGAAAATTATGTTTTGTTAGTTTTTTAATGACTATGAATTAGTGGCATTATAACTAAACTTTATATAAGATAATTAGAGAATTTGTTGTCCAGGATAAGAACCACTGGCCTACATAGTTCAAAATATATGTATAATACACTTTACTTGTGGCTTCAAGTGTAATTCCTGAAATGATTACTTTACTGTTCTTGTGGTGGAAATTGAAAACGTGTTTAGTCCTGTAACTTGTGGTAACCCACAGGCATTACATTAATTCTTATTAGTTTTTTTTTCTTTGTTTTTACACGCGTTTTTTATTAATAAACGTTTGCATATGCATGACACCATATCACATTTATTTACATTTCTCCTTTTTATATAAGTTATCAACAAATAAGGTAGGTAGCGCAAGATTATGTTGTCTTTAATTCCCTATTAAATTTTAAGAACCTCATAAACAAGCACAGGAAAAATCGTCTCCAAATGTGGTGCAGTAGAGTTTGTTCTACAAACTACATAGTAGAACTGTGATCTATGTAATAGATGTAATATTTATCTGGTGAAGAAATCGAGATAGATGTATAGACTCTTACATATTTACAGGATCTTTACAGGATCAGAAGGGTTTACATTTTATGTGTAAAATTGCCATAGCGTTGAAAACGTTACACAGCTTTAAGAAACTATTCGGTACGACAACGGATAAAATTAATTCAGTTAGGCATATCTATAGTAATAGAAAATGGAATGCACAATCTAGAACAGAAAATGAGACAGTAGGGATTGACTATTAAAACATACCTTTCTCATGTTACATAGTTTGACGATATCACCTCCAAAATATCTTATGGTAAAATGATTTTTTACGTCCGTCCAGTCCGAAGGCAACCCGACAATAGTAAAAGTGGTACAATATGAGAATTCTACCTTTAACCGTGGACAGATAAGGTATTAATTAGTCCAACTCATTCCGGAGAGCAACCGACATCGGTTTTCAGTCGGAGAAAACTCTTCTCGGCCGGATATTTAATAGCTGTTGGGTAATGTAGCCTGGCCATAACATGATGATGCCGAGATGGAAAAAATATGCATGACCACTGTGTTTTTGTTTACTGATTGTCTTTACACATAGATGACTCTTCATCGCTAAGGAGTCAATTGCTAGTATTGTTATCTTAGCTGTTTTACCTTTTAAAGTTTCGTTATGTCTATTAGTACTGTTCATAACATTGAAATAGTAAGAGTCAATATTAATAACAACAGCATCCATAACATTGGGTTTAGAAAAAAAGTATTCTCCCAAAAACTCAAGGAAAGAGATCAGGAGGTCTAGTAGGCATACTAATTGGCTCCTTAATGGCTGAGCAATTAGTGAGCCATATAAGTACATTCAAATTTCACAGAAGGAAACTACATTCGCTAATATGATTGTCTGGAAGCATGGGCTAACCGTACCTAGCCTTCATAAAACCTGTTAAACAACTGGGCTGTTTCCGTTTTTGTGTGTGTGTGTTTTTGTTGGCTTGATCTTTAAGAAACTGTATAGGGGAAAAGACAAACATAACGGTAAATACTGCTACTTTGCATAAATAATAGGAGAAGTCTTCAAGTATTCATCTACAAAAAAAGATTCAGTATATTCAGTGATACAATGTGCATTGATTTATTTTATTGCGTGTATGTTGTTTACGCGTGCGTATGCGTATGAGTGTGTTTTCCCTCTTGACTCTGTTCTTCGCGTTTTGCCTTTTACCGTGAGTAGAAACATCTCCATTTCCGGGAACGCGATATCCGACCAAGAAGCGAATAAACCAGAGAAAGGAGCCACCCGGGACACTGACATTGAATAATAAAAACCTTTTCGTTAGAACTCGCTGTAATACCAGTACATATAGAAGCTCTCATCGATGACTTGTATGACCAGGTGAATAAGTGAAGGATTCAGCCAGACTGGGAATTATATATACACCTGTTTTCTTGCAGAAACGGCAGCTGTTTAGTCCATTCAGCGAAAAGCTAATAGTTGGTGGAAAACAAATACCTGAGGATCCAGAAATAGATATCAACAGGAAAGAGAGGGGTAGAGCGACAGAGAAAGAGGAGGGGAAGACACACACAGATTCATATATGGAGATGGATATATCAATAAATGGATAGAGACAAAGAGGAAAACGGCCAAACAGACATGCTGAGAGAGATAAATACCAGTAAACCTTGAGTGGCAGACCGAAAGAGAAAATATTTTCTTTATGTAACTGGACTGTTAATATAGTAAAGATCAAGTAATTCGATCCAAAGAGAAAGTTTCTGGACTCTACAAGTTCTCTAGACCGACAATATGGTAAGACTTGATGAGCTTTAG